TCCTCCTCCTCCCACTCCTCCTCCCCCTCCTCCTCCTCCTCCCTCTTGTACCGGGGATTAAACCCAGGGCCTCCTCACTGAGCTGCTCTCTAGCCCTTTTTTATTCTTTATTTTGGGGTGGGGTCTTACTATGTTCCCCGGGCTGGGCTTCAATCTGTGGTACTGATGCCTCAGCCTCCTAGAGGCTGGCCTGAGTTGTGGCCAGCACATCTGGCTCCGTGCAGCCTTCACAACCCTCAGGTCCATCCAATGCAAACAGCAAGAAACCCTCGCGTAGACCTCCAGACAGCGCAGTTGCGGGTACAGCAGTGAAACGGGCTCCCGCTCTCCCGGCTCTCACCCTGCCCCTCCAACCCACACTGCAGCCTCAGTTTCCCCCTGGTGACGCAGGCAATGCTGCTGGTGTCCAGGCAGGGCTTGACCTATGCTCGTCTCACCTTGGCGACCCTTGCCCTCTGGTCCCACAGTTCATCTCGGAGGCCATCATCCAGGTCCTGCAGAGCAAGCACCCCGGGGACTTCGGCGCTGACGCACAAGGCGCCATGAGCAAGGCACTGGAGCTGTTCCGGAGTGACATTGCCGCCAAGTACAAGGAGCTGGGCTTCCAGGGCTGAGCTGAGCCCGCCCCGGCGTGCCGTGTGGTGTGTGCCGCAAGTGCCGCTTGCTTGGGGAGGTGGCAGGGTGGGGCCAGACCCTGTCACCCAGCCCCCTGCCCCTCACTCTGCCCCTGCTGCTCCACCCAGCTTTCCCCCTGCCTGAGCCACCCAGCTCCTCCTGGCCACACTTGTGCCCCAAATCCTGGCCATTATCCAGCCCAGCCAGAGTCCTCCCATCCCTCACCTGCCCGAGGAACACGCATGCGCCCTGGTCGGTTTGGGGTGACTCGTGGTTTCAATAAAGGATTCTGCATTTCCTGGTGTCTGCCTGCACTGGAACAGTGCACCCACCCCACTCCACCCTGCAAGACACAGGCAGCGGTGCTGGGTGGCACAGGGGCCTTTGGGCAGGGAGAGGGCTAGGGGCTTCCATCCTGGGGCCACTGCACCATGGCAGGCCTGGCAGGGCTCGGGGATGGGTGTGTGGAGTGTGATGGCCCAGGCCAGGTGCACAGGGCCACAAGAAGCAACAGGATGGGGATGGGCAGAAGGACAGGGTCGTTGCGGTCACCACAATGCTAGCAACATGAGAAGGTCACCAGCCAGCAAGTGGCACTGCTGGGACTCAGGCCACAGCCCGGAAGGCAGCTGGCAGGGACACTATCCAGGCAATCTTAGAGATCAGCACAGACCTCTTGGCCCCAGGGAAAAGACAGGCATGGAGCCTCTTCATCAACAGCAGCCTGGAAGCCACCACATCCCCAGGGGCAGAGAGAGCCATGAGCCCTTGCAGACCCAGGGCCATGGTGGCTGTGATGGCTGACAGTAGCCAGGGCAGGAAAGCCCTGGAGGGTGCCCAGCTCAGATGCCACCTCCACCGGGGGCCACTTCTGGAAGGCTTTCAGGTGCATGGGGCCAAGGGGCCTTGTGCCTGCCCTGAAGGGTCACATAGCCATCTACTAGTGATACAGCATGTGCCTGTGGGGGCCGTGCTGCCAGCCCTGCCTGGCAGCCGAGTCCAGAGCAACCATCTTCAGACCCTGAACCCAACAAGGTCACGGGGGAGAACCAGTCATGTCCCATGCTCATCCATCTAACACTCGTCCAGCTAACGTGCGTCTAGATGGCAGGGTAAAAGAAACCACTCCTACCTCTGCTCTATCTTCATCTGTGATGCAGCTGAGCTCCTGTTCTGAGTCCTCAGTATGCAAGATTCTTAATCTCAGCTTTCTAGGTTTTTCTTTGGTCCCAGCCAGGGCTGTGGCCAGTACCGAGGGCGTTTGTGTGCCAGGCGGCAGTGGCATGTTCAGGTGACCATCTCGTATCTCCAGGGGCTGCTCACAAGGTGCTGGGACAGGCAGTGTCGGGTTCCAGGTGCTCAGACCCCAGGGCTCAGGCTGGCAGCACTGTGGGGTTGTACAGGGTGTGGCCCCACAGTGGGGAGCGTGTTGTGGCAAGGCCTGAGTGTGGCCTTAGAGCATGGACATGGGAGGTCCCAGGAGGAGCGTGGTTCTGAAAGTGGAGCCCTGTGTGTCCCCAAGTGTATACAGGTGTATGTGTGTGCACACACGTGAGTGCACATGTGTGTGCATGCATCTGCAGGGAGATGTCCCTCGAGAAGATACATTGGCCTGACTCCTGCTGTAGGCATGACAGGGGTCTGCCCACGTGACTGTCACCTGCAGGCCACACAAATGCCTCTGTCACCGGGCTGCTGTCCTGAGTGCTGGGGCAGGGTAAGCGACGCAGAGGACATGCGGCCAGCCCGAGGGACACAGATGGCACATTGAGGAGCCACAATGAGGCACTAGGCAGCCCAACCAGCCATCCCCGCACAGAGCAGGGGCCCTGGGCCTGGGAAATGACAAGCTGCTGTGACAAACTGCTCCAAGCACGCGCATTTCTGCCCCCTGCTGGTGGCCAGGCCTTGGGGTTTCTGCTTCATCACACACACGTGCACTCCACACACTGCAGACAAACAACTCACAGCCACACAACACACTGCATATACAGGTGCTCACAACCACACGGACAACACACAAAGACACACGCAAGCGCACCATTCATTTTGGGCTCCCAGACAAGTGGAAAACACCACCACACAACCTTCACTGTTGATCGGTGACTTCTCCCTGCCTGCCTGGCTGCGGGGTAGCCACAGATGTAAACTCCCATCCAAACTGGCCCGGCAGAGTAGCAGACAGCAACACAGGCCTGTGGTGCCACAGTGGGCACAGGGTGTGAGAGAAACGCTCCAGCTCATAGGGGTTCTCCTAGAGTCCCCACATCCACATCACCTCATGGCCAGGGGCAGAGGTAGCTGTGTGACCCCAGGAGTTATGGACCTGTTACTCAGAGCCCAGATTGTTTTTACTCCAAGCACCAGGGACCTGTGAGGAGACCTCGGGTTCCACAGGGCACAGTGCTTGGCTCTGTGTCTCCCAGGGTTCAGACTGGGTCCCACAAGAAGCCAGTCAGCACTCATTTCCTGAAAGGCTCCCTGGCAGCCTCTGGGCTGGCAGTGTCCCTGCAGGGCTTTGGGTGCTGAGGGAGGGTTGTGTGGCAGTGCAGGGGGAACAGGAGGTCCCAGGATCTCAGGAGGATTCTGCACCCACTCACCACATTGTCCCATCAGTCAAAGGGCTTGAAAGAAGGGACTCCGACTCCCTGAGGAGGGAGAATTGGGCCCCAGGCAGGGGCATCAACTCTGCCGGGTCTCTGTGGGCCTTGTCTTGCTGTCCCTACAACCATGACAGCCAATCCTAAAACAAACCCTCCACATACATCCCCACAGCACCACTTCCCGGGATCCTGGTTGGCGCGATCCTGACCCCGTGCATGGATGGAAAACCTGGAACGGAAGTTAGGCATCGTCCAAGACCACCCAGCTGTGAAGGAGCAGAGCTGGGGCCAACAGCCGGGGCACTGGAGGCCACCAGTGAGTAGGAGAGGACACGTCCTGCCAGTACGGAGCCCTCCAGCCTTGTCTTCATCCACAGCCTCCTCCTCACAGCCCAAGGCAGAACAGTGACAGCTCAAGCCCAAGACCAAATCCTGCTGGGCATCTGGGTAGCACTGGCTGGAGCTCAGCTGGCCCAGAGTGGCCAGAGCCGGTCCTGTGTCGCCCTATAGGTGCACCAGAGACTGTCCCCCACGGCCCCAGCAGGGTGCAAGTGCTGCAGGCCCGAGGCACACAGCCTCTCCTCTGGGGCTGCAGCTTCTTTCAGGGACAGCCTGAGGCAGGGGAGGAAAGAGAGAGCCAGAAAGTGGACAGATGGGGAGAGCAAGGGAAAGACAGAGAGGAAAGGGACGAAGACACAGGGAAAGAGCGGAACAGATAGGGAGAGACAGAGGGCTTCTGGGAGAAGGAAAGGGGACGGAGGACCCCATGCCCTCCTCTGCTATGGGGAATGCTGCTGCCCCTACCTCACCCGCTATGCAGCAGCTTCGCCCACAGCTCTCACCCCCTGCACTGACTCAGATGGTGGGTTTGGCCAGTGCCCACCATCAGGGGAAGGGCTTACCGAGGCAGCCTCATCCAGGATGGCGGGAAGGGCATGTGGGGTGCTGAGACTCACCTGGCAGAGCAGTGGGACCAGTCTGCTTCTCCGTGACCTTGGCTGCACGGGTGTCAGCAGAGAGGAAGCCAGAGACTTCTCTCTTCCGTCTGACCCACAACCGGCCCCAGCTTGCACCTCCTCTGCCTCAGCTGGGCGCCAGTGTCCTACCTCCCCTCTGGGCACCATCCTGACCACACGGCATGTAGCAGGACATGCAGTGTACATAGAAGGCCAGGGTTAGGGAGCGGTGACTAGGGTAAGGGTTAGGGGTAAGGGTTATAAATCACAGGTGGGGACTCTGGGATACGGCTGGCCTTGGGCGTCGTCACCAGGTTAGGGTTAGGGTTGTGGTTAGTATTGGCGGTCACCTGTGGGAGCTTGAGTGGTGGTCAGGGTTAGTGTCAGGGTTGGGGTTAAGCTTGGAGGTCACTGAGCAGGGTCTTTGGGAGGTAACTGGGTTAGGGTTAGGGTTAGGGCTAGAGGTCATCTCGTGGAAGCTCTGAGAGATGGTCAGGGTTTGGGTGAGTGCTGGAGGTCACTGAGCGGGGACCAGGAGAGATGATTGGGGTTAAAGAGAGGTTAGGGGTGAAGCTTAAGTGTTAGGCTTGGACATCACCAAGGGGACTCTGGGAGGTGGCTGGGGTCAGGTGTTTTCACCAGATGAAGCCCCTTTAATGCATGCAGTGGGTTTGTTAGAGGGACAGTGGCCAGGCCCACTCAGGCTCCTGCCTCCTCCTGTGTGACCTCTGTGTCACCACAGGACTCGCCAGCAGGGAGGCCACCACAGATGCTGCCCTCAGTGTTGACCCGCAGAGCCATGGGCCAGAATCGGCCTCTTCTCTACAAAGCAGCCAGCCTTGGGTGCCTCATGACAGTGATGACATGGACTGATCCAATCACAAGCACAGTGTGTGACTGTGTGTGCCTGTGTGTGCACTAGGGGAATGAACGCCAAGCTCTGAGAAGCTCCTGAATCGTGTCCTGTGAGAAAAGCTGACCATGTGTGGGTGACAGGGACAGCCCCTTCCAGGAGGAGGCCAGGAGGCCGAGGGTGCGGCTGCCAACCTGGACAGGGGAGGAAAGGCTCTGGAGCAGAGGGTGCAGAGTGCAGTATACTGAGGACGTGACTGTCCATGCTCTGGGTCCCCTAGGGACAGGTGCAGCTCCTGCAGGCTAGAGGGACAAGGGACACTGTGGTGAGTCGGGCGCAGGCCCAGAGCATCGTTGGCCCTGTCCAATAGCCATGTGCGAAGCTGGCAGGCCTGGCTGCATCACACAAGCCCTGATGCCGACTTCAGCAGCAGGTGGCCACCTCCCAAGGACGTCTCACCTCTGACCCCGGTGCAGTGCTGGGGAGGAACAGGAAGCCAGTGTGGGGCAGGCCAGGGCCTGGAGAGGAGTCTCTGCCCTGAGGAAGGGGGTCTGGGAAGGGACAGGGGGACCTCAGAGAGGTGGTCACTTCAGCCAAGACAGTCTGTGTCCCTGTAGCCTCCCTCCTCCCCTCCTTAGACCTGGCCCACCGTCTGGCTCCTTCCAGAAGTGCCCTTCCCCTTGACCCCAGCTGTTGCCCAGCAGTCCCATTCCTGAGGCGCTGCCTCCACAAAGCCACTGCAGAGTTCTCAGGGTCCCGAGGGCTCGGACCAGGTTCCCTCCTTCGTCCCACGGGTCTCTCCAGCCACCTGGGTCTTACTGGGTGCGTTGCTCCCCTTTCTGGGACACAGTTTCCTCACTACAAATGTGATGGTCACTTTACC